ATGGCATCAGCCTCTCCTTCACCTCTTGCCAGTTCTGTAGAGAAGACAAATGGAGCCAAGCTCAGCCGACTTCTCATCGATGGTGGAACAACAGTTCTTAGGAGCATTTTCAATGGATATCATCCTCCAGCAAGTCTTTCAGCCGCATTGAAATCAAACTCTTTGACTCTTAAAAGTCTGTTGAGAAGAAGGATCCTACACAAACCTCAATGGGATCTATTAATTCCTCCAAGCGGTGCTCCTCCAGACTCCCAAACATTCGATATCACTCTTTTATTCCTTCTCTTAACCAAAATTTGTGGTCTCTCTCCACCCCACTCTGGGTGGCACACTAAACCACCTCCATGTGACAACTCCCTTGAAGCAAATCTTGCTCGCATAAAGTTTTACCGCAATGAATTGTATGGCCATGTTACCACAACAGGTATTGCTGATCCAGCTTTCTCAACTCTGTGGCAGGAGATCAGTGTTGTTCTTGTTGCTCTTGGCTTGGAGCAGGCGGAAATTGATCGATTGAAGGCTGAGCATTGTGGAGAGCAAGAGTTCTTAGATGCGTTGCTTGAGTGGGCTGATTCTGAGAGAGATGTAAAATCACAGCTGAAGGATATTGAGACCAAAGTGCTGCAAACTGTCGATGAAAGTAAAGTAAAGCTGGAAGAAGTTCATCAGTTGCAGAAGAACTTACAAGAATCTGTGCAGAGCCAACAGCAAGATAGTACAGCTATTCAAGATATCTTTGGAAAAGTCTCTGAGAAGCTTCAAACCATTCAAACTTTGAATAACAAGAAGGAGTGCATCAGAGGTGACGAAGTCCTTACGAAACTAGCAAAGGTTGACAATTTACGTGAACTTAGAGGCCATGCAAGCAGATATGTTGAGGGAACTCGTTTATCGATTCTTGAAGAAGTTGAGAGGTGGTTAGACGACAAAAGTTCTCCAAATAGAGTGATTGTTATTAGTGGGAACGCAGGAATGGGAAAGTCTGTAATCTCAGCTGTCTTGTGCCAAAAGATGTTAGAGGCTGGAAGATTGTCAGGGAGCCACTTCTGTCGCCATAACAAGGCACGCCAAAGGAATCCCAAAGTGATGCTGCAGTCGTTAGCCTGTCAGCTTTCAGACTCGCTGCCAGAGTTTAAGAAGGCTATCGTGAAGAAGTTGTCGAGAAATGTGGGCGTTGAAATTGGAGACATGGAAGTGGAAGAACTGTTTGAATTTTTGTTTGGAGAACCTCTTTCAGATTTGGAAGACCCAGGCTCTATCCATCTCATTGTAATAGATGGCTTAGACGAAAGTGAATACCAGGGGCGTAATGAGCTTTTGAATGTGATTGCTGATTACTTCAAGACGCTTCCGTTCTGGATTCGATTTGTGGTAACAACGCGACCTGAAATGAACATCTCAGAGAAGATTCAAGACTTAAATCCCATACAGCTGAACCCAAACGATCAAGAAAACTTGATGGACGTTAGGCTTTGCTTTCAAAAGCAACTGGAATATGTCCTGCAATCTGATTGCCAAGATACCCTCTTGGAGAAGCTTGTTGAAGAGTCAGAAGGAGTCATGTTATATACCTATTACCTGACAGAGTTCATTAAGAGGAATGCTGCGGGTATGAGTGCTGCTGAAGTGATCAACAGCGGCTTGCCATCTGGTATTTCGTCCGTTTATCAAGGCCAGTTCAAACGCCTGAAAAGTGAAATGCAGAAAGAACTGGGTATCACCGAAGAGCAACTCTTTGATTTTTTAAATGCCATGGTGGCAGCAAGAGAACCATTACCCGTCGAGTTTGCTTATAAGTTGTTCCTTTCAAAAGAATGGTCATCGGCTGATGAGCAAAAAGTACGAAACGCAGTTGATTGTATCTCGGCTCTTCTACCCATTGAGGGCGAGTGCATTAACTTCTTTCACAAATCAGTCAAGGACTGGTTGGTCGAGGAGTCTACTTCGAGGCAAAAGAAGTTTACTGTTAGCGGAAAAGAAAGTCATCGCGTCATTGCAAAGCTTTGCAGAGATGAACTAGATGAATTGAAACTTAAAGGGATCCAGAGTTCAACACTGAAACAGACGTCGAGGTATGCCTTGCAGCATGGTGTTCAGCATATACTTGAGGTAGAAGAGAATGCCCGTCCGTGTAGCCTCGACGACATTGTAAAGAATTATGTTTTGGACCTAGAATTGGTCTATGCAAAGCTAACTGTGAAGAGTACAGCAGCCACTGAAGATATTCTTTTCGTACAAGAGAAGGAAAATACAAATGGTCTGTCAAAGAATTGCAGAGAAGCCCTCGAGACGTTATTGTTACTGTTGCGGAAGCATTTAAGTACTCTTTCAAAACTTCCTTATGCCATCTTTCAAATCTTGTTGAATGAAGGAGGACGTGAACTGTCTGCGGAGGCATTAAGCCTGCTGAACACCAAGTATGCGGACTTACCATATATGGAATATTTGCGAAAGAAGGAGGAAAGAACAGATGTTCTACTGCGGTTTTTTGCTTCAGATTGGGTGGCCTGCTTTGATGTCTCACCAAATCAGGACTACCTGGTTTGCGAGTGTTTCGATGGCACAATTCATCTGTGGTCGCTCCGTACTGCCCAGCCAATGTGGAAACGCCCTTCGTTGGTATCAGAGAATGATTTATGGGTGTGCCGTGGGTTCAGTGGGTTTTCCTTTCATCCATTTTCCCGGTCAGTAGTTTTCCATCCAACCTTAAACCTGATCCTGCAAAGGACTCTGTGTCAGGGTTATACCTTGGTCGGAGACGTGCAACCTCTTTTCCGTTCGAGCAAGTGCCGGTTCAAAGTTTGTTCAATGTCTGGTGACAAAACCACGCTGCTGACTGACTGTCTGGACGGAAGGAATTGCGTCATCCAGTGGAGTCTAAAAGATGGAAGCGAAATTTATCGTTTTACACACAAATGCGAAATTTTATCTTTTGCTTGGTCTGCTAGTGGAAGACGGATGGTGATCGTCGATTCTGACAAGTGCGTATACCTCATTGACATGAATGATGGATTTGAGACTCTGATATGGGCTTCTGCTTGGTCACAATATGTTAAGTTAACTCCTGACAGCCGTTTTTTTTTCTGTTTGGTTTTGGATGAGGATGAACATGTTTGGTCTCCGAAGCCCAAGCTTTTTTGTTTAGATATTGACAGAAACACTAAGTCAATATGTAGTTTGGATCGCTTTTTTAGGACGAGTCCCTACCAGTACGCCTCGGAATTTGAAACTTGCAATGAGAGTGGTTTCTTGTCAGGAGATCCCTTTTGGAATTCATCTTTAAGAATATTCCCATCTGTAGATTTTGTACTTGTATTGAAAAAGCAGTTGTTACTAAGAGTTTCCCCTCTCAGTAAAGTGATTGAAATGTGTAGCCTTAATGACATAAGGGAGTGGAGAGGTGAGAGTAGCGATGAAGCAGGACAAAGCACAGAACCCGGTGACATTACGACAGAGAGAGCCGAAAATAACGATCTAACGGAACATAACCTACCAGAAATCAACGATATGCCGGAGCAGAAAGCTGAAATCGATGTTCTGTCAGGACAGAGAGCTGAAGTTGTTGATCCATCAGAACAGAGAGCTGAACTTGACGACCTACTCGAACAGATGGCTGAACTGGGTGGCCTAGTTGAACAGACAATGGAACTTAACAACTCTACGGAAAAGAAAGGTGAATTTGATGACTTTGTGGGAGAACGAACGGAATTTAATGACCCATCAGAAAAGAGGCTCAAACTCGATGAACCATCACAACGATTGGAAATTGGTCTATGCAGCTTATCAGAGAATGGAGCTGATCCTTATTTTAAAGGGGGTAAGTTTCTAAAGAAACTGTGGTGCTGCGTCGGTGGAAGTGTATAACAGGGTAATTTAATATATTAAAGTTCACACGGCAACCAGATGGACAATTAGACATGGTTTGGTGCTACTCTGGTTTACAGATTTAATGAATGTAACCGAAGAAATTACAATTCATAGACCCAACGTCTCGACACTCCTGTCTAGTGCCTTCATCAGGGGTGATCTAAACGCTGCAACAAGAGGTCCTTCTATATGATCACTAATTAGCTGCCTTTTTTTCTGACGAGGTGTAAGTAAGCGTCAGTAAGCAAGCCGCCATCGTCACGATTTCGAGGAGCGTGGGCGGAGTTAATATGCCAAGCCTCCAAACAAAGGCGCTGGTGGTAACGCCGATTAGCGGTGATAATTTTAGAATTATCCCACCCAATTGTATGGTTAGTTAGGCATGTGTGCTCCGATAAAGCTGAATTTTCCTTTTTGCAAAAGAAAACCGCTTTTTGATGCTCTTTGAAACGTGTACCAAACTGACGTTTGGTCTGTCCGATGTATACGTTGTCACAGTCATTGCAAGGAATAGAATAAATGGCGTCGGTTCGTTGTTCTTTCGTGACAGGATCCTTAGGTTTGGCAAAAATATGCCCCGAAGTCTGAAAAGGTTTTTTAGCAACTTAAACGTTGTGGCTATTCAAAATTCTCTTGATGGGTTCTGTAACACCCTGAATGTAAGGAATAACAGCAAAACCAGTCGCTAGTTCCCTTTCATCAAGAGAGTTACTAGTTGTAACTGGTTTTTGGCAGTTACGGAGAAAGGTTTTCGTATAGCCATTTGCCTTTAGGACATTAGAAATATATGTGTATACTTGGTTTTTACGCCACATACACAACATACTCAGGCGTGCTAAACCTCCTCCCAAAATCCGGAAATGAAGCGGAGCGCCTCCTATCGCATTTGAATTCAGTAGAATTCAGGAGTGTCGAAACGTTGAGTCTATGAATTGTAACTTCTTCGGTTACATTCATTAAATCTGTAAACCAAAGTAGCATCAAACCATGTCTGAGGGTAATTTAGTGTTATCAAATGAGTTGATAACGTAAATTGGCCACCGTAGAGAGTTTAAAAGCTGACGTTGACGTTCCGAGAGTTAGCTTTTAAAATCTTTACGATGGCCAATTTACGCTATCAACTCAGTTGATAATACTAAATTACCCTGATCCTTATTCTGTTCTCTCTTTCCTAGATGATCAGGAACCTCTACTTGAGGACATAGAGGAAAACGGTTCTGCTGGAGATGATTACTCTGGACTACCAGATAGCGTTTACTTCTCTGTTGATGGTAATTCTCTTTATACCGTGGTGGGTACAAGGATCCAGCGAATAAATCTTGTGACTGGCGATGTTTTAAGTAAAAGGGTTAGTCGCAAGGCATGTCTGACTATCGGAAGGCGTTTTCGTCTTGTGCCCGTCAAAAGAGGTGTCCTATTCGAAACAAATGGTAGCTCGCTTGAGTTGTGGAACTCTGAGTTGTCTGCTTGCATGCAAAGGTGGACTGGCTTTTTTGTCAGGGTTGCTGTACCCTTATCAGAGGAACTAGTCGCCTTGGAAACGGTGAATGACGATGATGGCAGACGAGAAGTGATCATTCTAGATACAACGAATGAAAAAATTGTGTCAACGATTGCAAATTTTGGTGGTGCATTTTTTGCATGTAATAATAAATGTGAAGTGCTAACCACTACTGATGGAGAGTCTCTGCAGCTGTGGCGTAAAAACCAAGTGATATGGGAAACTTCTATTCAATTAGATCTATCCGGGTTATACGTAACTGTTATTTTTTCTCCCACTGAAGAATACGTCGTCATTTTTGATGAAATTGGCTCTTACGTCCTCAACGCAGTTTCGGGAAAAGTGATTTGTGAATTGGAGATCATGGCTGCAAATGATATTAAGTTTATCAGTAACGAGGACTGCATCGTCAGCTTGAATTATCCAAGAGGTTTTTGTCTTAGATTATACAACGTTATATCTGGTGATCTCCTTAGTGAAATTGTTGAGGAACGATATGTTCTAAGTTTTGCAGCTTATCCTTGTAAGCGCTTGGTAGCAATTGTCCTTGAAAACTCCGAGAACCATTTTGAAATCATTCAAGTGAAGCTGCCAGGCGATAAAGAGAAGAAGAACATGAAAAGGTCAGTTGAAACAAAGTTTATTTGAAGACAGAAGTAGAATAATGTGGATAATGATATAATGTTATTAGTATTAATAGTAGTAATAACAATTATGATATTAATAATAGTGTGATAATGATAGCGATAATGATGATGGTACATGTAATAATAATGATAACAGTAGTAATAAGAACAGTTATGATGATAATTATAACTATGATGATACTAATGATAAATAATGGTAATAGGACCGAGTGGAGTCCAATTCGTTCTGTAGTCATACGAGTGATTAACAAAATCGGACGACCGCATAGTTATAATTAACATCATAACTGTTACCAATTAATCCTAACTGTTGTAATTTCCGAAAACAACAAACATATTAAGGACAAATGTCTCCTGTAGAGACGATTTCTAAAGTAAAAAAATTCATCGATTTTGGAAATTCAACAATTTTTTGTGGGTGAAAATGATTCTAAAATCTGATCCCGGTTAATGTCTACCATCATTAACCTCCACTACGGTGAATAATTGTTAACTATTGTCGGCTTGAATTTTTTTGTTTACATTTATGTTTACTCGTTTTCTTACACTTTTTGTTTTTCAAACTTTTCTCAATAAGCCGTTTCTGCGTTTTACTGTTACACTTGGTGATACCACGTCGATATTTTATCTTTCTTTGCAAGATTTTTGCTTTTACCAGCGCGAAGGATTTTTTGATAGACGAATAGTGAGACTGATGCCATATGAGAATACCCAATAAAGAGATGCCCTTGAAAAATGCAGTTTTGGTGTTAATTTACCTACAATATACAACTGAAAATACTCTATTACTTATTATGAGATGTTGCCTTTGACTTAACTTCTATTGATGAATTTTTTACCTTAGGTTGAACCTACCAAAATAAGACATCTACATAGATTTACAGTTGGGAAAGACATTGTCGATCAGAAAACCTGTATTCCGCTGATTCCTTTGCTTTCGAGTGGTTACGATCTGACCTCTGAACAGAAGAGACCGCTGATCGAGGTTGGAGCGAGTACAAGAATGATTTTAGTGGCAAAGCTGTTTAAGGATTTAATTATACTTTTCTTTAAAGGGCCATGGTTAAGTTGGAGAGCTGTTCACGCTGCCAAAAGATTTTTGTTTAGACTTATAAACATTTTTAACTGTTCCTAGTGTAAACTTAAGACGAACATTTAACGCTCTATTTTATTGCTCTTTTGGTGTTTAATCAGCCAGCTACAAGCTAAGAAAATTGTTCTATGGAAGCGGAGTGCAGCAAGCGTCTCATTAAGTGTTGATTTGCGACTCGTTTAACTCGTGAGATTGATTCCTCTATGAAAACGAAAAAGGTATTGACAAATTGTACAGTTCTTCGTGGAGGCTCAGAGAGGTTCTAAAGTCATTTTCTGCAAAATTACTTTTACAGCGTAAGACTGTTGGAGAAAAAGAGAGAAATATCTTGTGGTACCACCTGTGATTCTCTCGTGTTTTTCTAATGAAAGAGGTAGTTTCAAATGTGTGTAAATGGGTAACCAGCTAACTTTATATCCATTGGATGTGTACATAGCTTATACCGGCCTGGTTGAAGTTGGAACCAGAATGACCGCGAAGGAATCGTTTCTTCAACATTATTTTTTAGAAAAAAATGGATAGTCAATGCGCTGATTTTCGGATATAAATTAGTTTGTGTATGTTTTTGAAATTTGAAGACATTATCGGTACTTTATTTTTTAAAATACTTTCTTTTGTCGGGAAGGTGGGCCTGTAGTCACTCAAAGTGAAGTAGTTTTACAATAAAATTAAAACCAAGAAGGATTCAATGTCCAGTCGATGTGAAATTCTGTGGGCATAGCCCTAACCTCCAGTAGGTGGCTGTTAGTAGTCAGTTGGTAAGGTGCCCGTGTGTCAGGGCATCGTTGCATGGTCAATCGCACCAGGGTGCAATACCAGGAAATTTCCCTCTCTAATATCCTTGCAGTTATAAATGAGAAAAAAATTTAAAATGCGAACGAACATATGTAAAGCATACTTAATGAAATAAACTAGTCAAAACACTTTTACCTCAGGAAACCCTATAAATTAAGAGTAGAAAATACCTCACCCATTCCTAATTTGAATCACCTAAAATTTTGCTCTTTCGTGGTATAAAAGACACAGGACACATAACAGAACATCGCATTATCAATCTATTGCTTATACTGGTTTCCTTGTTAACGTTCTTTTGGTTTTTTGTTGTTATTTGTTCTCTATTTTTCAACGTCATCAGTGTCTTTTACACCAAGTAAGAGCTTGAAATTTAAGGGTGTCACCACACAGTCTATAACTTGGGGAACTGACAGGAGGACACCCTTACATCAGAATCTATATTCTCCTTAATGTTTATTATTTATTTCCCAAGGTACTGAAACAAAGAATTTGTTTAACAATCGAGAGCCTCTTTAGTTAGTGATCTTTTTCTCTATTCATGATTCAGGTGTGATTTTTTAACCCTTTAACCCTAAAAGTGAGCAGCTTTCAATTTCTCCTTACAATATCACCCCTGAATCAAACATTAAGGTTACGAGAATCAATGAAATGATCACCAACTAATGAAGCTCTTGGTTTTTTAACAAATACTCCTTGACAGCGCTTCAGGAAATGTATAGAGAACAGTATGGAGAATATGCATACTGATGTTAGGGTGTAAAGGGTTAAGGAGAAATTAGATGCCAATCGCTCTTACGGGTTAAAGTTATTTAACCCTATAGTTAAAAGCTGCTTGCTCAAAACATGTCAGTTTGGTTCTCAACATCTATAATATGCATTACATAGGTTCGCATATCCCCTGTCAGCGATCCAAACGACCTCATTCAAAGGGACTTCAAATACGGACTATACTTGAAGGAGATTAGGCTCTTAGTCTCTTGTCTCAAAAACTTGAATTTAGAGGTCGTTTCAACAGATCCATTCACCTTTAGTCACTTCCATAGGGCTTTCTTTTTCCTTACTAACTTTAAAAATTCGTTGTCTATCCTAGGTGGTCCTGATTTATATCTGCTAAGCTTCATCTTGGGAATATGCATGTCAACTGCAGCAAGTAATTAGTTGTACTCGAGTCGATATTATCGCATGATATGATGGAAAATCAGCTTTGCCGTAACGATAGACAGCTTTTAAAAAAAAATTTTGGCTTGTCAGATTTTGTCTACATAATCTACATGAACGGAATCTGTAATAACATTAGTGAGTGATTAAGATCAAGAATGAATTTTGTACGGTGACCCATACAGGACATGCCACATGTTCTGTTATCGCGCGATAAAATCAAAATATCGCACGATAAATGGAAATTATCGCGTGATAAATGGGAAACCTGTTAGGTCTCACGTAATCTGCTGTCACGCACGTTGTTTCCGTGCATGACAATGGGCGCCACAGTTGAGGAGACTAGCGACTAAATACAGGAATGGCTCCGACCTGTGATTGGATGATAAAAATAGTAAAAGTTAATAAGTTATATCTTAACTCGTTGCTCGTGAGTATTGTTCACCGCGTGTCTCGAAGCGGAACAATGAAATACCAATGTAAAAACACCGATGAGTCAAACAAGAAATGGCTACTTACATAACGAAGAGAAGGCAGAGTCTATCTTGTTCAGCGAGGTCGTTCAGTGATATTCCGGCGATGAAAAAGTCATCCGCTGACAAGCTCCGCTGACAAAACTCATTTAGTCAGTTTAGGCGGACGACCAGAGACTGGAGCCATTCGTGTATTTCACCGCAGACAGGAATGGCTCCAACTCATGCGTATATTAAATTTTTTTTTCGTTCTGGCTAAATAATTTATACACTGAGATAAAAACTGAAAGAGCGATTTATTAGGTTGTAGTCTACAGTGCTTGCAAATGAAGCCCTCTTTTATTGCTATAGGGCCATGTAGTTTCTAAGTTTTAAAATAATGCAGCAACTGCATGTCACGTTTGGAAAATCACGCAATGTTGCGTGACGCTGCGACCAACGTTTTTAATTTACAGCATGCTCTGCTGGAGAAATAAGGCTTGGCCGCAATCGAGGGAGTTTTTTTCGTGGAAAACTGATTTTCTAGGTCATTGTTCACATGAAAGACAAATCCATTCATCGGGCTTTTCATCTTTTTTTGCACAACACCTAAAGGGAGAAAGTCGCGGATTGATTTTGCTTGGTAATTTCTAACAACTCCACTAGACCTAAAAAAGGAAAAAAAGACAAACCAAACCAAAAAAACGTCATACCAGTCAAGCCAGTTGCAGTAGCTCTCGCACTGAATCATGTCGAAGTGCCTTGACTGTTTGCAGTGATGGTACAACCAATCTTCGAACAGTTTTTGGCCATAACAAGAAAGAGTAAAATGATTCTATAAATTCTTGGAACGAGTATATCTCGTTTGCTATTGTATCACACTACTGTTTTAGACAAGGAATTTATACCATTTAAATTTAAGAAAGAATGAGTAGAACATAAACCACATTTTCTGTAAAGTACACGAGCCATCCTAACCTAATTTGCCAACTACTTTCTAAGCATCGTCTGTAAAAAACCGCTTCAATTTTTCAAATTTGAAAATTTTTAGCTAAAACCGTGGCTCCCAAAAATATTTCTCACCTTGCCTAAAAAATTTTCAGAAGAAATTTTCAAATTGTGCACAGCTTTGCCTATTCCTGCTCGTAGGTCCAGCCAAGCCCTTATGGTCATTGGCCCCCGCATTGGCCGCTAACAATGGCTTATAAATATAGGCGTTTGGTCTTGACTTGTAAAACTCCCTGAGGAAGTTTACGACAGTTAGACGAAACGCGTCAGAGAATAAAGAAGTTTTACAACTACTGTTCGCACAGCGCTGCTCACTAGTTTAGTTTTAAATTTTTAAAAATTTTTTTTAAAAAATTGTTTAAAAATTATTAAAAAATTATTGAAAAAAAAATTAATAAACGTTTGAGTCGGAGCTATTCCTGTCAGCGGTGAAATACAGGAATGGCTCCAGTCTCTGATCGTCCGCCTGAACTGACTAATTAACAAATAGAGAAG